CAAATTGGACATTCTAATTTCACAGTAACATTCTTCATTAATTTTAATTAACAGAATAAACCATTAATTATCTGTAAAATTATATTTATATAGAATGTTTATTTAAATATGTAAAAATCTTAATGACAAGAAAACACTAAAGACTCTAATTTCTAAACCGGTTCTGTAAATGATTTGTTTACAATTAAGTGTTCAAAATTGATTATAGATAAAAAGAAAACTTTGCCCAATGAAATACGCTGTTCGTCGTCTGATTTACGTGTGGATAAGCAATATATGTAATTATGTATATCATTGGGTGTGAGACATTAACTGTGCTTTGTGGAAATTAATAAAATTTCTTTTTCTACGCCCTACCTTTAAAGTACCTTGTATTTCACCGCTTTTTAACGCTTAAAACGGCTGTTTATGGTTAGAGTGAAAAAAAGTAAAAAAGCGTGAAATAAAGTGCCATAGCGTTAACTTTATTTTACGCTTTCCATAAGCTAATACAGTGATTAGTGCAATTCGTCCACACCTTTACCGGAAAAAATATCAAGTCACCTTTGACAGCACATGAACTGTAACTGATTTGACGTTAACAGATTTAATTATTATAGTATCAATAATTCGAGGTGATTTAATTTAGTAGTTCTTTATATTTTTATTATGATGGATAGTGAAGATTCCGAGTTTGAAATATGTACACCGGAAGAAATCGTAGAAAAAGCTAATGTGGCAACACTAAATTTGCTGCCGGAGAAATCCAAAGAAAATTATTTAAAAGAATATGACACTTTTATGAAATGGCGGAACCAGAATAATATTCATAGCTTTACAGAGCGGGTGCTATTAGCGTTTTTTGAAGAAAAGTCTAGAAAATTCAAGTCTTCTACATTATGGTCCAGCTATTCTAAACTAAAAGCAACCTTAATTATTAATGATAACGTAGACATAAATAAATATGCTAAACTAATAGCATTTCTGAAACGAAAATCGGTTGGGTACAAACCCAAGAAATCCAATACATTTTCAAGGGAGGAGATTAACAAGTTTTTATTGATTGCTCCAGACGACAAATATTTAATGTTTAAGGTAAAAATTTAAAATATTTAATTTGTTTTTACTTACTTTATTTTTTAAAAATTCGTAGGTTACATTAATACTGGGAATAGCTGGAGGTTGTCGACGAGAAAAGTTGTATAAAATGAAAATTGATGACATTGAAAATAAGGGACAATTTCTACTCATCACGATTCCAGATTCAAAAACGCATACAAGTCGGCGTTTTACGGTAATTGGAGAAACCAGTAAAAACATTAATTTAATACATTTTTATCAAAATTATGCTAATCTGAGACCGAAGAATGCAACCACCAACCATTTCTTTCTATCATATAGAAATGGAAAATGTACGAAACAAGTAGTTGGTATAAACACTTTTTCGAAAATTCCATCGCTAATTGCACAATATTTAAGTTTGCCGCATCCAGAAGAATATACAGGTCATACGTTTCGACGTACTTCGGCATCGCTTCTAGTTGATTCAGGTGGAGACATTCTTCAATTAAAGCAACATGGAGGATGGAAATCTACTGCTGTAGCCGAAGGGTATGTGAACAATTCTCTCAATTCAAAAATGAACTGTGCTTCACGAATTTTACAAGGACCTAACAACAGCAGTTTTTTTAACCAACCTTCAACATCATATGAGAATCAAGCAAAGACAAATTTGACTGTTCCAAATATTCACAATTTAAATGATGCTTTATCCATGAATCAGACAGAAACAAACGTGACTGCATCAAAAATTCATATTAGTCAACCAAACAATTGTGTTTTCAATATCCACATTGCGAAATGAAAGAAACAAAAATACATAATTTACTTGTTATTTTTCTTAATATTATTTGTCCAATTCAATAATCATTATGCATTCGTTATTATAGTTGTAATTTACTAAAGGAATTTAATTAAAATATTCCAAATATCTATTTTTATTTTATTATTTGTATAGGGCTGTAGAAAAAATATATGCAACATATGCATAAAGTGTCTTTTTTTCACTCATGGAATTGCCGCATTCGCCTGGCGGCTCATGCGGTCAACTTTTCCATTCGTGAAAAAAAGTACCACTTTATGCACTTGTTGCATAAATTACTATTACTATCGAATCAAATCCAGATTTCCAAAGTGATGTGTTTGTACATACACGAATGCAACAAGTTTTTTCGATAATGATATTACGAAAATAATTCGACTTTATTTAATTAATAATTACTAAACAATGCCGTATAAAACATTAACAATTCCCCCCATAAAGTTCACATTTTTGTCACCAGGTGGCGTTAAAGTCATGACGTAAAAAAAGGATCGTTATTTATATTTTCATTTTTGTTGGAAAGAAAACATAGAATGAATGATTAAAACTGGTTTTCCATCAATAACTCACAAAATTGAATTCCAGCCACATATAATAATCTAAGGCAGAAATCTTGAAATCTAGTCCTTGCTGAATGAACATTTAAGAATAAAGGGATATTAAAGAACATCGTGAAATGATAATTTATTGTTTATTTAAAACCTTTCAAGTTTCTGATGTCTACTATATCCAGAATTACTATTATTATTACAAAAATAAAGGTAATTTTTCTTCTTATTGTACACCTATCCATTTATTTCTTTGATTTAATTTCCACTTTGCTACTAAAAATTTTTATATAAGTTTCACTGTTTTTTTTTGCTAGTATTTGTACAATTTCAACACAGCAACTCCGGTTGCCTAGTGTATAGTTTTTGCTTACTTTTTGAAAAAAATCTGATGTGTCCAACACATGACTTTCCTATCTAGTTATTATAGGCTTTTTCCGGTTATTTTGTACAACCTATTGCAGCATATCTATAAATGTTTAGAGGATAAACTAAATATATACATTGTCCACATACATCTACCTCGAAACATTTTTCTATAGATATTCAATGAAAACGAAAATACTGAAAAATGAAAAATTTAAATTTAGCACTTTTCCATTACGGTTCATTTTAGAAAAATCATGTATAAACAAAAATTATAGAGATCGATATCGCAAACAACTTTTATTTTAACAATTTTCATAAAAATCAGAATTTTGCACATTTTGTCAAATTTTTCGAATACGGACCATTTCAGGAAATTTTTACTTAAGGCAAAAATTATAGATAATAATATTAGAAGTAACTTTTATTTGAACAATTTTCTTCTCCAAACATAAATAACAGATATATTCCATAAAATATAAAAACGGCCTCCCATAAAGTACCCCCCCAGATATTTCGACTTTGTCCAAAATCTAATCATTTCACGTTAGGCTAAAATAAAACTTAAGTTTAAAATTTAATGTTTTTTTCTTTATCCGTTTTTGAGTTTTCTTCAAAATTCGAAATTTACACATTTTCTCAAATATCTCGAATACAGTCCATTTTAGAGAAATTATCTATGGGATAAAAATTATAGGGAATTATATTACAAACAACTTTTGTTTGAACAATTTTTATAAAAAAAAAATATTTTTTTACATTTTGTCAAATTTCGCGAATACGGACCATTTTAGGAAAATTTTGTATATAACAAAAATTATAGAAAATAAAATAAGAAGTAACTTTCATTTAAAAAATTTTCTTACCCAAACGTAAATAACAGATATATTCCATAAAATATAAAAATGACCACCTATAAAGTACCCCCCCAGATGTTCCGACTCTGCCCAAAATCCAATCAGCTCATTAGGCGCTGGAACAAAGCTTAAGTTTGAAATTTGGTGTTTTTCCGTGTATCGGTTCATGAGTTATGCGTTATACAGACACACACACAGACACACACACACACACAGACATCATCGCGAAAATAGTCAAAACGGGTTCAGGGGACCTCAAAACGTAAAAATCCGTCGAAAACTCGAAGTCGAAAAAAATCATGATTCCTATACTTTCCTTATATCTGTATACAGATAGGAAAGTAAAAAGTAAAATGTTTACGTGTATTTGATATGCCAAAATTACAAAATATCGCCCTAAAATGCATGAATTATCCGCAGCTAGCGCTAGTATCGCTTTTGCTTCCCTTTCCATGACTTCGCACGGAGCGAATACTCATCTAGTCCAAAAATTACTTTTAAAAATAATACTTCAGAAAAATAGAATTTACTCTTCGAATGCTTTTTATAAAGAGGCAGAGATCCTAGACTTAAGGCAAACATTTTTCTTAAGGGGGGGGAGGGGTATGTTTATTAACTAAAGAAAAATATTCGTTGGATTTAAAATACATAATGATACCAATTGCCAAAAAAACAATAGGGTATAAAAGTCTAATGTTTTTGGGACCTAGATTTTTAAATTTTTTACCAAAGGAAATATGTTTCTCAATTTATTCGATACTTTATTTTAGGAAAAAAATTAAATCCTTTTTAATAAATATACAAGGAAAGATATTTATAAATTTTTTGATTTGTGGAAATATAAAATGTTAGTAAGATGCACTTAAAAATGAAAAAATAAAATAAACAAATAAACCCAGCCCACACAGAGCTTTGGCTTTGTGGGAGTTGTTTTCTTTGTTTGTGTTAATTTGGTATTTTTGGAAAAATTAAAATGTTAAATTTAAGTTTAATTGTAATAAATGATGCAAATAAAGATTATTATTATTAAAATTTAATAAAATAAACAATTTAACAAAATGTTTGACTGAGCAATGACAATGACAACAAAATCTCAATTAGACTAAATTTTATTCTAAACCGGTTCTGTAAAAGGTTTGTTTACCAATGAGTACTCACAATTGAGACAAAACACAAACATTGTATGTACAAGACAAAAAGAAAATATCTCCCAGTTCGACCCGCTTTTCGTTGTTTAATTTAAGTATGGATGAGCAGTGCATATAAACTATGTATGTCATTGGTTTAATCTAATATAATCTAAAATAAGAATGAGGTGAAAAGAGGCTTTATTTAGTATCTTGATATTTAATATAGTATTTGTTTCAGATCGGGAAGTTACCAAGTGAGAACGAGTCTGCCGACAGAAAAACAACAAACTCTACTCAACCACGTGACGTCCCATTCTGGCGTCATATTGGAACCCGCTACTGCCGGGAAACCTCAACTGCTTTCGGGTAATACTCCATCCAGTACTTCGAGTACTTTAGAAAAAAAATCGAATTTTAGCAAAGCCGCCAAAGGCGCACTCGCCAGTGTGTCTGGTAAGATAATAAACGAAATATCGAAGTGTTTGATGTGTTGTTTTATTGTCTGTCGATAATCATTCTCTTAATATCGTACTGTCTTTCTGATCGCACTGTATTATCTATTAATTCGCTTTTACCAGGTCTATGATATGACGAAGTTAGTTAGAAAAGTTTCCTTATTAGAGTCACTTTACACGTCGAGGTTTTCCTTGTTTTCAAGTAAAATTGCGGTAAATTTCACGTCTGCGTACTAAAAGTCCTTTTGATCAGATGTCGTAACATTCTTCTTGTAATATTCTTCTTGTAATTTGAAATTTCACAACAAATTTACATAAAAACAAAAAATAATACACCAAAAATAGTGTTGTTGCTATTTAATACTCTCAGTGGGCGAGACACATTTTCTTTTGATTTTCATGTTTATACCTTAATTAAATAATTTTAATTATTATCAATATATACAGGGTGTTTATTAATTGAGTGCCGATACTTAAGGGTGTGAATCCTTGGGTAATTTTAAGAAGAAAAGTTAATATCAACATATGTCGTAAATCTCTTAATTTTTGAGTTACAGGGTGTTACAGTTTTAAGAAAAAAACATATTTTTTTTTTCATAATTTTCTTATCACTGCAGATATTTCTATGAAATTTTGTATACACCTTCTAATGATTAAGGAGCATTTTTTGACGTATAAGATTTTTTTAAATTTTTACCAGTGACTTCCATACGGGGTTTGAACGGAATATTTTTAAAGAAAAAAATGGTACGCCACTGCTTTTTCTAAAATCCAAAATTATTTTTGAAATATTCAATTATTTTTGAGCAAATTTGGCCCATAGACTTGCTTTCGTACGATGCACTGTGTAAAAAAATAAAAACCAAAATGTTTTTTTTCTTAAGCTGCTTTTGATTTTTTGTTGAAATTTGGTAGGCACCCACCATGCGTGAAAACACTTATTTTGGGACAAAAATTAATTTTCTACTTCCACCAGTGACGGCCACGTAGGCATCATATTGAATGTTTGGATAGAAAAAAAAAGTACACCTCTGATTTTTTTAAATTCTATGTATTTTAAAAATCGGGATTTATTTATAGTAAAATGAAAATTCAAAATCTTGAATCTAAAACGAAATTACAAGAGAATACAAACAAAATAAAGAACCCAAATTATTTACAGTTATTGTTGGAAGTGTCCTCCATCTACACGTATGCAAGCATCTACTCTTCTTCGCATAGACTGACGCACATTTTCAAAGTTTCCTGGGGTGTTTCTTATGGTTTGGCAGCAGACTGTTATACGATTTCGTAACTCTTCTTCGGTTTGATTCGGCACTGCGTACACTAAGCTTTTCAGATGCCCCCAGAAAAAGAAGTCTAAACTATTAAGGTCGGGAGATCTAGGCGGCCATGACTGCGTTCCTCCGCGACCTATCCACCTATTGCGATAGGTGTGATTTAAAAATTCACGCACTCGTAAGCTAAAATGTGGAGGCGCACCATCGTGCATTAGCCACATCTGATTTTTTAATAAAAGAGGAAGGTCTTCAAGCATTGGCGGCAGATCATCTTCAAGGAAGTGTAAATATGATTGTCCATCAAGTCTTCTTGGGAGAAAAAATGGGCCTATCAAATAATCATCAATAATGCCAGCCCAAACATTTAATGAGAAATGTTCTTGATGATTTGACTCAACAATTGCATAAGGGTTTTCATCCGCCCATAAATGGTTATTATGGAAATTTATTATTGAGTTTCGAGAAAAATTAGCTTCATCGGTAAAAAGAATGTGCCTGTCAAATAATGGATTTTCCAGCAGGTTTTGAAGAAACCACTCACAGAAATTAATGCGCAACGGGAAATCTCTAGGGAGTAATGCCTGGACTCTTTGAATGTGATATGGGTATAACAAATTTTCGATGAGAATTTTCCAAACAAGTACATGTGAAACATTAAATGTTGACGCGATTCTCCTCGTGCTAGTTTCGGGGTTCTCTTCAATTTCATGTAAAATTCCTTCTTCAAGTTCCGGTGTTCTTACTGTGGTCTACTGTGGTCTACTTTTAAAGTTCCGGTCTCGTGAAGACGTCTATGAATCCTAGAAAATGTTCTCGGATCGGGTAGTACGCGATTTGGATACCGCTCTTGGTATATCCGTCTGGCTTCGTATGCATTTCCGTCTGCAAGCCCATAACTAAAATGCATGTCAGCTAATTCACTGTTCGTAAAATTTACCATTTTTTTTTCAGATTTTAACTCTTACTCTAATAATAATTATTTAATAATGTAAAATCAATGTCAACTTTATTGTCTTTATGAAAAGAAACGTCAAAAATGATGACGCTTTACCCAGCCTCCTAATGTTTATTTCATTTGCTTACCATTTTTTTCTATTCAAAACGTAGAAAATTAATTTTTGTCCCAAAAAAATTTTTCCACGCCTAGTGGGTGCCTACCAGATTTCAACAAAATATCAAAAGCAATAGGTATCAATGAATTTAAGGAAAAAATTTGACCAACCACTACAATGGTTTTTATTTTTTTACGCGAAAACGGTGCATCGTACGAAAGTAAGACTATGAGCCAAGTTTGCTCCAAAATAAATGGTGATTTCAAAAATAATTTTGGTTTTCAGAAAAAGCAGTGGCGTACCATTTTTTTCTTCAAAAATATTCAGTTCAAACCCCGTACGAACGTCACTGGTAAAAATTTAAAAAAATCTTATACTTCAAAAAATGCTCCTTAATTATTAAAACGTGTGTACAAAATTTCATAGAAATATCTGGAGTGATAAAAGAATTATGATAAAAAAGTAATTTTTTTCTTAAAACTATAACACCCTGTAGCTCAAAAATTAAGTGAGTTACGACATATGTTGATATTAACTTTTCTTTTTAAAATCACCTAAGGATTCACACCCTTAAGTATCGGCACTCAATTAATAAACACCCTGTAGATTAATATCCTCTTACTGACGTTATCCTTGGGACTATCCTTCTGGTATTTCCCTCTTGCGAATAATCCAATTATCAAGTGTATAAGTTTAATCATATAAAGGTTGTTTCTAAATTCATGCGACAACATTCAGGAGGTGATTGCTCGTATGAAATTAAGATGGGTTTTTCCTACAACAAAATTTCCTCAGCCCACCCCTTTCCGAGATATCACGCTTAAAGGGTGGTGAATAAAATTGAGTTTTTATTTTTTTTTTTTAAATTCCAGTAAAGCTAGAAACTTGAAATTTTGTAATTTTCGTGCACTCGCAAAGGACTAACCATGGCTATTATTTGAATATTCCTGTTATATTATTATTATAAGGATTTCAAGTCATACATTTATTTCATAAAACTTCATCTCGAAAAAAAGTTTTAATATGAAATAAAGTAAGGGTTGCTAATTTCAACCGCCCCCCCTCCATAATGTAACGGGAATATTGAAAAAAATATTCGTGGTTAGTCCTTTGCAAGTGCACGAAAATTACAGAATTTCAAGTTTCTAGCTTTACTGAAAGGACCAGGCAGCCGGCTTATGGAGAAATGGGTTCCGGTTAATATGCCTGAGTTTTTGGTATGTTAAAGATATCGATTTCCTGAACAATAGTGTCCATGGGCACAACTCAATCCTATGGCCAATTTTCAATATACAGGGTGATAAAGTTGAAAAATGACAATTTTTTAAAACGTATTAAAATGTAATTTTCTTAATATATTAAGGATTTTTTGCTGTAATAGTATTTTAATAACATCATATAATATTGCTTTGTGTAGAAAAAGTATTATTTGATACAGGGTGATTCAAAAATCACCAAAAAAAAATATTGATGCTGTGTATTCTACTTTACAGTGTGAATATGAAAATATTAATATATGGTCTGAATTAACTTTAGTTGGACTTATTATAAGAAGGTATGAAAACATTTTATAGAAGGTGAGTCAAAAAGTTGATCGACTCTGCAAGTTATTTTTAATACAATTTTATATATTTTGTAATACAAGTCAGTAGTCGACATTGAACCATTTTCAAAAATATATAATTTATGAATTAAATACAGGGTGATTCAAAGGGTATATAAGGTAGAAAATTACGAAAATTGATTTTTTTTCTGCGAATCATCCTGTAATTTAATATTTCCTCCGTTAATTTCTCTAATTTTTTCTTATTGTCTTTAATTTGAGTTTGTTAGTTCCCTATAGAAGTTTTGCGAAGTTACTATGATCAGTTTTTTTATATCGACTTTGTGATGACAAGCCTGTCACAATGTATACGCTTATACCTGAGCTCATAAATATGTTTTTATTTTATTTAATCATTCAGGATTTATGTCATTCTAACGTTATTTGTTTAAGGAAATATAAATAATATGTACAATTCATCAAATTTCTAGAGGCTTTCGACGGCTAGACAGAGAAAGCACTACTGACAGGCATCCCGACGGATTTACGCAATGAAAGTACACTCTGCGCATCAAGTATTACACACACACTATTTCATTCAGACGTAAATGTCAGATGTAAATTTCGCTAAAACATTTCTTTTATTTTCGTTTGTGTTTTTTGCTCATTACAGTTTAATAGTACCTAAGTATGGAGTTTAATAGCAAATTAAGAGGCCGCGTGATTAACAGTCAATCTCGCGAAATAATAGCCAATGTTATAGAGTTTATGAGAAGAGAAGGAAACTTTAATTCACCTTCAATACCATTTAAAAATGTAAATGATCGTGTTGCTGCAGCCACAGGAGTATCTAAAAACACTGTCGTCCGCATTTCTGGAGAGAAAAAAAGAATCGATAACCGTGAGATATCGGAATTTTCATCACCAAGAAAAACCATTAAAAAACCAAAAACAGTTAATGATATAGATGAAGCTGACAAAGGTATTTTAAAAAGAATTATTCTGTTCATGTTAATCTCGGAAAATATTGTTCCAACATTAAAAACAATTCTGGCTAAATTTAGAGAAGCTACAGGGTACAAAGGAATCTATGAAAGTTTAAGAAAAATAATAAAGTCGCTAG